TGGGGGGTATGTAGCGGGGGGGTGGGTGGGATACCCATCCACAAAACCCATACCCACCTGCACAAACCCTCACACCCACTCACAAACCCCACACCTCACTCCAGCAGGCAGGAGCTCCCCTCCCCACTTACCAGCTGTCCAGTTGTGCATCACACTCAGTGCCTCCACAGGGGTCTCCCAGCTGGAGTGCCAGGAGCCCCATGGAAGTATAGAGACACAGAGTCCACCTGGGTTAAATTATGTAGTATTATGCAATTATGTGTTGTGATATGTTTTATGTACAAAATGACAAGGGCATATAATTGTGTAATTCCCTGGTGTGTACATTATGTTTTGGGCTGTTGTATGTGTGGAGTGAGCATGCCAGGCTCATTTCCGAAAAGAATAACCTGTATTTTCTATCTCCCTTGTTGTACCCATGTCAAGGTGTTTTGCCCCTTAGCAAATAATCACTGAGAATTGTGGAAACCCACTAAAGTCAGCCTGATTAGGGTCCCAGGTTGAATCCAGCACCAAGAAGAAATTAGCCAGCTCCAACTAGAATAACATTCTCTAAATACACATTAATGTACTAAAGGAATAAAGCTTTAAGATTACTACAAGTTTTTATTCATCAAGATCATTTTAAGCCCCAGCCCACAGGCTAAGTCTAGTCCCTGGCACTGTCACCTTGCCCATAAAGCTCCCTTTGGGGAGTCCCATGGGCCGTGATCCTGCATGCAGGGTGGTGCAGGGCCCAATCCTGGTGCATGGGGCTGGGTGGAGGTGGTGCAGGGCTCTGGGGCCTGATCCCAACATGCAGTGCATGTGGAGATGGCAAGTGGTCCGATCCTGGTGTGTATGCCCAACTTGGCTCATGGAGCCAACCAAGGCCTCATGGGGCCCAATCCAGGGGTGAGGGCCCAATCCTGGTGCATGATATCAAAAGGTTAAACACCACTGGTTTAAAATACTGGTGCTCAACCTTTCAGAGTGGTAGGGCATGGGTTGCATCATGGACCACCACTCCTATTCAGTATGGAAGCTGGGAAGGGAAAGAGAGGAGGGAAGTGGTTGCCAGTGTTAGAGGTTCGTGGGGAGGGAGAGAACTTACCTCCAAGAAACAATGCTTGCCATAGGCAAGGGGGAGGGAGAGAGGGAGGCAGAGAATAAGCAGTGCCTGCCTAAGGGAGAAGAGATGGAAAGAATGGGGGGATGCAGAAGGGATCAGCTGCACAGCACCGGGCAGGAAAGCAGATGTGTTGGGCCAAGCTGCTTGTCACAGATCCCCCAAACTGCACGTTGGATCCAGCCACGGGCCATATGTTGCATACCACTGGTTTAAACGATTAGTTACTTGAATAAGTGAAGGCTACACTTGAAAAAGGAGTCTTGCGTGTAGCTTTGAAAATGTAAAAAAAAAAATATTTCAATAGGAAACATTTGCACTATTAGATGTACTTACGTCAGCCTTTTGCTTAGATTAATGTGTCATTTGTGGGAGTAAACAGAATTTCTAATGCCTGGCTTCTTTAGGGCTTTCAGCAGAATTTTGTGACTAAACTTAAGCACAGCTTCAACAAACTTTGTTGTGTCTGACCCTGGCTGGCGCCAAACTGTATTATAACTGAGATCTAAACCATGTGAAAGTGCACCAACCAGGTTGGATCTATTCTAAGTGCATTACAACTGAGCTGGCACGCAGCTGCTAAGCACAGTTGTTAACCTTGGATGAAATTGCCAGGTAAAAGGGGTCAAGCACTGCATTGACTTTTACTGAAAAGAAAGATATGTTGGATTTTAATGTATATTTATCAGATGCATTTAGAACCTTACAAGGCACTGCATGTCTTCAGCTTCCACTTTCATTGTCTACAGTAGGAGTTAAGGATGCTCAGCAGGACCTCACAGGAGATGCACAGCACATTGGAGGAAAGGGTGTGTAATACGTAAATACAAAGTAACTCACTTTCTTTCATAATCATTCCTTTCATTCTCTATTTTATTTCAACAACACAAGGTGTTTAAGATAAAAGCCACTGTGACACATATCACACATGACACCACTCATGCAAGGACTTCTGATGTCTGGGTGCTTGCAGTGCCAAACTATGCTCCTGTTTAAATTCAAAGCTGAAATTCAAACTTTGGTGTGTGTTGTCTAACAAGGATCTTCTTGATTTCATCAAAAGGATTTGGCAGTTGTTTTCTCTACCTGGAATTGTCTGTAATGAAAAATAGCAAATGATATTGCTGTAAATAAATACAATGTAAGCTTGGAGTTTTATTTTTGGACTCAGCAGCTTGTTAATGGATTTGGTTTTAGCTTGGAGGCTTATGCTCCTAAAATAAAAGAAGATTAACTGATCAGTAGTGAAAATCCAGTTGGATGCTAACAGGAAGAAAGTGTGACTTTTGTCAGATTTATATGGTGGGAAAATATTGTATTTGGACAGTGTAAAACTACAAGCAATACTAGCTACTTATAAAAAATCAGGTTAAACATAAACTACATCCATTGACACCTACAGCATTTGTGAGACTAGACACTATAGATATGGGCCTATACCGTTTAGAATAGGGGGATATACAGTACCAGAGAAGTTCTTGAACTGGTGTCTTCAGAAGTGGTTCAAAGGGTCTCCAAAACACTTGCCTCTTTAGGAAGTTCTGTTAACAAAAATGTGTATTAGTACTTTAGACAAACAACTCCCATACTAGTCCTTAAGGAAACCTGAAGGCTTATGTGAACAAGCCCCAGTATATTATACAGCCAAGGGAGAAAAAAAAACTATTAGAAGTTGTATCAAAGAATTGCAGATATGTAGGGCTAGAGAGAACCTTATCAAGACATATAGGCATACATGATATATATTGGATATTATGATTGCTGTTTGGCAAGTTCTCATGGCAACTTAGTAGCTGGTAGGTCCCACTAGTCTCAACAGGAGCTGCTTAGTGCTGAGCACTTTTTAAAAAGCAGCTATTTCACTATGCTGACCTCTTCAAAGTCTGGTCCCTTATATGTATAGCATCATTAGCGTATGTGGAAATTTAGAGAAAGAGAGTAAAATACAGGTCCCAATGACGTCAACGCTTAAACTCTCATTGACTTCAGAGAGGACAGGAGTTCACTCAGATTCCAAGAACTGAGAAGCTTATACTGAAAATGAAATGGATAATATTTGTCTTTCAGATAGCATATTCAATGGGGCAGGAAAGGTATTTTTTTATGCATGCGCATGTGTGTTTTACAGTGCAGACAGACAGCTGACAATAAATGGGTACTAAATTGAAAAAAAAAGAAATTGCAACAGGCTTGCTATCTGATGATTGAGAAGAACATTTTTAGGAAAAAAAGAAGAAAGGAAAATTTGAATAGTGAATGGGTGGGTTATGTGGAGGAAGACAGGAAGGAATAGAGCTGGTTACAAAGCAACATGAAAATGTACATAAGCCAGCAGACTCATTTATATCGGTGTCTATAGGTAAAGCAACAAACCAAACCAAACCCAAGGTTAAAAAACAAACTGATCACTCACAGTAAATTTGCTACTAATATACCTGAAATACCTAATATAATCAAGGTCAATATATAAAAGAAAATTCAGCAATGGTACTATTGTGTTCACACACACATTTGAAGCAGCTGTTACCATTGTGTACACTGATTGAGTTCTTACCCCATTGCCCATGCTACACAAAGCCTAAATCTAGGCAACTTACTACATTTTCATTACACATGATTCTATTTGTTACAACGTATTTCATATAATTTTGCTCAGTATTAGAAAATACTGCATTGTCTGTCATCTCTATATACAGGTCCTTCAGCATATTCTTTATAAAACTTGTCCATGGTTTGACAGGATATGCTATGTTGTCAGGTTGGCTTAATCCAAGAGAGGAGACATGACCCATTATTCTCATCTAAAAATGACTTGCATTTTAGATGTTTTCAGGTATACAGACTACAGTGGGCAAGACATAAAGATACCTCAGCAAACAATATCACCATCAACAATGCATATCCTATACTTACAGAAGATTCTCCATTCGTTTTCCATGCTAATAAATGGAAATTAATGTAATGTTCTTTTAAAGCAGAGTTGGCCTGCATTTTTAGCTATGAATGGTATAGCTGAAATAGAGGTAGTTGTACTTGGTGGTTTTATGAATACAAAGATTAATGAATTTGTATAATTTGGGCATGCAAAGCATTTTTATCAGGCACATTCCATTTAGAGTAAGCAGTAAACTGTATATAAGGGTTGTGTCAAAGTTTACTGAATAGGGCCCTTGGTAGCTAATGGAACATTTCCCCAACAAATCAAAGGTATTGTTCTATGCTCACATGAATATACAGTAGCCATTACCTTAAATTTAAAACTCACTATGAGCAGCAAACACACTGTGGGGATATGAAGGCCATATTGTATCAGTGGAGTCTGCAGAGAATTTCTTCATATGGCTTTGCCTTGTTGAAATATATGTTGCAGTTGAAAGCTAAAGGGATTACTTTTGAATAGTCATCACAAAGGTTGATTATATTCGTATATCATTTAGCTGGACCCTGCAGGCTATTATTCCATTAGCTATGCTGGCCCTGCACTGTCAAAAAGTTGATCATATAATGTAAAAAGGCTATATGTTCTGCTATGCTATGAGATGGGAATCAAAACAGTACAATAATCTTTTAAGAGCATTGTAGACTTATACTGAATGTGGAGTGTATTTAAAATAAATACCTGTAAGTGATTCTGTAAAATGGAAGATAAATTGCCATGCTTGAAATAAATACTTAACTCTGCTTACTCTTTTTACTATCTGAATTGGTGTTTGTAATTTTGCTAGGTTAGTAATACCCAGTGAAATAACAGGCAGTTATATTTTGGTTAAAGATTTTTTTTTATGTCACAGAAACATGTAGCTGGTAATAGGAGCTGTCCTGTTAAACAGTTGGTTTTGATCTAAATATTTGAGCCAATTTGCATTTTTAGTTAAAAAATGTTTTCTGATTAAGGTCTCTCTCTGGCATGCACACCCAACCCTTTCTCTTTAGGTGCTGAATAAAAAGGTGCTATTTATCTGCAGAGAGTGTCACTTTGTGGATGGTTTAATTTTATTTTACACTAAAACCTGAATATGGCATACAACTGAAAGCATCTTATTGTTCCACAGTGTAGAGTAATCATGGAATGTCCCTAGATTCTAACATAGGCAAATGTTCCCATTGGGGAAACCATACAAATGAGAGAGGCTAATGAATCACAATATGTATTAATCCTAGGTATTTGCAAGAACCACATACCATAAGGACAAATTCTCAGCACCAGAGAGGTTAGGGACTGAGACAGAAAAGGGAAAAGGAGATTACGCAGCTGCATTTCAGAAGAAGTGTGTGGGTGAGCATTTACTTTAATGCAGCCAAATCTGCCCTGACTACCTTCAGTCTTAGTGATCAGGCAGAAAAAGGGAAACAATTGAGTCAGCTTTGGTTCACTTCACTTTCAGATCCTCCTAGGCCAATTTGATGGAAATAAAATAAATAAATAAATAAATGCATACAAGACCCTTAGGGCTTCCAGCCCAGTTAGGAAAGAGCCATTTCTGGTTTTATTACACAAAGTTGTTTAATTTAGATTGTAAAAATGCTTTATTTGGTTCTCTTTTGAGTTTATGTATTACACAAGGCAATGAATGAGTCTTTATGAGTACAGATGGGAGCCTTAAACAGGTTACAGCAGGCATATTGAACAGGTAGGTTTATTTGAATAAAGGCTAAATAGTTGGGGGGAAGTTTATGAATTGGAAGAAGGATGAATTTGATGTACTTTTAAATAAAAAGACACTTGAGAGCATTAAAACTATAAGAAAAATACAATTTTGGGGTTAGGATAGGAAAACTTAATGGGAATACAAATTTGTCCCTACCTGAGAGTTTCTTTTGTTTGCTAATCAGTGTTTAGTAGTCCCTCAGACAAATTTCTCTCTTTCATGCTTGGCGCAGATGTCAGACATTTGGGTAACTATGGACATTTTTTATGATTTGATATCTTCTAATATAGTATTCATTCTGAAAACTGTACAGCAGTGGATAATATAATAAGATAGAATCTTTGCTGGAGTCACTTGTTGAATACTGAACTCCGTATAGTTTTTTCACATTGGACTAGTGAATACAAATAGACAAGGATAGAAAATTATGAGGTAAGAACAAAATACTCCAGTGCCTCATTTGAAAGTTTGGGATTGATAAAGTCTGGCAGGAATGTTTCCAGTTATTTGTGCAAACATAAGTGAATTCCAGTGATGAAGGTCAATCTTTAACAGTACCCTTAGCAGTCGCATCAAGAATAATTACTGGGGTCCCTAATTAGGAAAGTGGTTGGTTTGCTGTTCTTATCTTTGGTCGCCTCAAACCCAAATCCAAATCCAAACCCAAACCCAAACCCAAACCCAAACCCAAACCAGTCTTATGAAACTGAAGTACCTATCTCACCTGTGTTCACTCCACTCCCCTCCTCAAGTGTGAAAGAAGTCAGTAAAGGAATTTTTCAGATGGCTTGAATATTTACTAATTCTTTATTATATCAAATTTTCTACTAGCACAAAGCAGGTAGAAAAGTGGCTATACTGGCTGATTGAGGATTCCCAAACACTGGGCATATCTACATGTGGCCGTATGGTGCCTTTGTTACTGTGCCGTCATTTAGTACTTCCTTTTGGAAGTACTAAAAGCTGGCACAGTAACAGCCTGTGCTATGTTGTGCTGGCCGCAAATGGTTATTTTTGGCTGCTACGTTGCCACAGCAATGCACTACAATGAGGGAGCACGTTGCTTTGGTGACATGGCAGCATCATGGTTTTTGCCAACAGACGCTACAGTGCCATAGCGTCTTGCGTAGACACACCCAGTGAGGGGTAATCCCACAAGGTGTTGGGATGCCATTAAGACATTTCCATTCTATTGTGTCAGAGCACAATGTCATTTCTGGAGTATCCTTGTGTTCTCCCAATGATAGAACAGCCTCACTGGTGGCCAATTTGATCCACAATACCTGTGAGCAGACCCAAAGACCACTCAGAATTATAGTGAATGCCAAATTGACCTTTGGCTTGTCTCAGGATTTGGTGAAGAGGGAACATAAGGTGGCATAACATCACTTTTGCTCCCTCCATTGATGCTGAGCACAGATTGACCGCACCTTAAGATTCTGTATATCAGAAAGATACTTAAAGAAATCCTGATCTTAAAGTAGCTCATAGGAATAATAATTTCATTATTTCAAAGAGATTTTTACTGAAAGTTTGAAGATAGACATTTCTTTTCTGTTGAACATAAAAATACAGATAGCACATGAAGATAGAATATACTCATTATGTGATGTCTCAGCAGATGTTATATCAGTAATGCATATGTTTAAATGTGAATAAAATATAGATATTAAAAACAGCACTAAAATACTGAGAACTATTCCAGGTTTCAGATGATACAGGTCTTATAGGCCGCATCTACATGTCGCCCTATGGCGACATAGTGACATGCTACGTTGACGTATGGTATGCTATGGTGACACAGCAATTACGATTGTCAGCTACATCACCATAGTGATGTGCACCCTTGGTATAGTGTGCTGCTTTGGTGATGTAGTGGCAAAATCTAACTG